TTCCTCTCTTCCACCCCCTGCCCCCCCTCCCTGTGCACGCCCGCTAAAGCTTTATTATCCTTTACTTCGCTTTGCTTTCATCAGAACCTTCCAGTTCCGTTCTGCCTCTTTTCTAAGCGGTCCCCGATCTCCAAGCTGGCCCCACTTTCACCCCTTCTGTCTCATTTTTCTGCCCCAGCATTTTCATTCCAACAGTGCTTGCTGATTTGCAGCGATGCCAGCAAGGAATTGTTAGAACCATATATTGAGCCAGAGAGCATCTGAGTGTTGGGGGAGAAGGGTTCTTTCATCCTGGATATTGTGATCTTCCAGCTTCAGGATTTCTGAGCAGGCCCTCTCCTCAAGGGGGGGAGTCAGGAGCAGACTTCAGCCATGGAGGTGGGCAAGATGGTAAGTGCTTTTAACTCACGTTTCCAGGCGCAGCATCCCTCTATCATGGGCTGGGTTTGCTCACTGAGCTCATTTTTAATCCCCTTTTTCCGAATGGAGATGTTGGAACACCCAGCATTTCGGATTGTTTCTCCCTTTAGTTCACGTTTATTTTGTTTTGTCATCATCCTTCATTCCCAACCTTTTTAACCCCTGTTGCATGTGCTTATGCTTGAGGCAGACTCTAAAGACTGATATTGTTAGGGCATGCAAGGGAAGGGGAGAGGCTCTAAGGGGAAGGCTCAGGAGTTTGCACACAGGTCATCCAAGTATGTTTCAAGTGCCAGTTCAGTGTCAGTGCTGTGTTTTGGGACCTTTAATCAAGCAATATTCCTTTTCATTGGAGTAATTGTAAGTTTTGGTTAATTAAACACCTTGAAATTTGGTTCCTGGTCTTTTAATAATTTAAGGGAAAAAACAGTTTATTTTTTGCATTTTGTTGTACAAGACATTGTGCTTTTTGCAATTGGGTGTTGTTTTAAGATCAACCCTCAAATGAGGGTCTCATTGTGTTTGGGTTTCTGCTCTTCCACCCAATTCAAGTAGAATACTAGGTGTTAGGATTCACCCTTGTCTGCCCATTTAACCTTGTTTTTCTCCTGTTGTCCAGTTAGCTTAATTCAGGTTGTTTGCTAGGGATTCAAGCCTCTGTGTATGATACATCTGTGAGTTCTTTATGCACGTTCTGTGCTTTGCAGGGAGATTTTGGAGTATAATGGAAGAGTATTTGAGTATAATGGTTTCTGCCTTTTGTCCAGAGCAAAAGGAAGTGCTGGATATAAAAGTCTTTCTGCTATAAGGTGGATTTGGTGATTAATGAGCCAGCTGGCAGGGTTGATTAATACACTGACCTTTCATCTTGGAAAAGAAGGCTTTCATCTGAACAGTGAATGGGTCCCTCGGGAGTTGAAGTGGCAGGGACCAGTGTAGGTTGGGGCCCAGATGCGGTGTCTGAGCCAAGTAGGTAAAGGGGAAGCTTGCACAGTGTGCATTCTGTGCAGGTCTTGTTCTTGGTCATTTTCATTTTTAAGATGATAAAAATCTAAATAAAGATCTCTGAAAAAAGAAAGGGCTGGCTTCAGTATTCCTGGGGGCCAGGCTGCCAGCTTCTAGTCTCCTAATGTGACCACCTCAGTAGTGTTGAAGCTCTTAAGTTACTGGCTTTTATCAGTTCCCAGGTATCCAGCTGGATAGTGCTTGGTACCTTAAATCAACCAGGGCATGGAATATGAATGCTCCTTGAATTTTTCACATCCACTTAATGCATTGGGGACCCTTTTCCTTTTAGGAAGATATGACTCCTTTACTTCTCACTAGGAGTTTGGGAGCAGGAGTTTGACAAAAACTCCTATAGCTAAATCAGTAGCCTACTTGTTAGTGTGCTGGATTAGCTGTCAAGTTTTTTCATCTCTGAGACCTTCTCAACATGCATTAATATATCTGAATTCAGGCTTAGGATCAGCTTAATTCAGAAACCTGCTGATAACCCAAGTAAATGAGGGATGTTCCTTTTGAGAGGAAGACTGTGGTTGTTTGGTTGATATTTAAATAATGTATAGCAGCATTTGAAGGTACAGTATTATTCAAGTACCAAGCATGGCTTGATTTGTATGTTCCCCTGGAAGGTATTTCGTAAAGTATCAGGCAGAATATACAGTTGGTAAAAATGTATGACTTGACATCCAAAGGGCAAGTTTCATCCCGAGTTCAGTGACCAGGAAGGACTGAAATATCAGTTCCTTTCTCAGCAGTATTTTGTTTTGACATCTCTTGTCTCCTTTGGAAATGGGATTCTTTTCTACAGAGATGTTAAGGAGTTTCCAGTCCCGCTCTTTTTCAGTAGCTCACACCCCCAACCTGGGAGACAGAGACAGAATAACTAGCTCCTGTTGTGTCCTGCAAGCACCAAGAATGCCCAAATGCTTGCTTTTGTTCAGTAGAAGCAGACTCCAGCTGCTGGTGTGATAAAGTACTGGGAATGCTTTGAAAGCTGAGGGAGGGTCTTTATAAGCATTGAGCCTAGAAAATGAAGGGGACCAGTACCCTTCCTTCCTGCAAACATAGATTAAGTGTAGAAATGTAAATGTAAGGCTCTTGGTTTATGAAATTTCCACATAAAATAAGGAATCTGGCTAATGTGCCTGGATAAAGCATCTGGCCACGCTGCTGAACTAGCTCTGCAACATGGGGCACCAGCATAACTGATTGGATGCTAGTGATGTCATACCCACATCAATTATTAAATAATAAGACCAGTGAGTGCTTTTCTGGGGCAACAGCTGCTATAAAGAAGTGCAGTAATGGCTCAGGATGCATTGCCTTAGAATGCCCTGGCTTGTGATCATCAAAAATAAGTGGCTGGTCCTTGCTTTGTCTTTTCTGACTTGTTTCAGAAGTTGCAGCGTTCCTTTGAATGTTTTAAGCTGTGGTGGGTAAGTGCAATACTAGTGATATTCAGTGCTGTGCAAACATTAAGCAGTGGGACTTTGCACACCACTGTAAATTTAATATTCGGTTATCCCATTTGACAGGTAAAGAACTGAGATCGAGATGTTGGCTGATTTTTCTGAGTGGAGCACCCAACTGTGTGTGGTATTGTCTTTCTTTCACCTATGCCCCCTCTTAGCCTCCTTTTTTAAGTCTGGGGCCCATGAAATGTGTGGCCATGTCCTTTTTGCTACCTATTGTGATGTTATCCCAATAGAAGGATGACATTTGATACACAGAAATACTTTTGATAATTCAAAAGATCTAGGATTTGGAAAGGGGGTCCTGCTCAAAACTAAGCAATAATATAAACTTAGTGTTTTGTTCTTTTCACTGGGAGGTGAATTCCCCTTCCGTTTCAAAGACATCATGGAAGACTCCAACAAGAGAAATATGACCAGATCTTGAAACTGCCAGCCCTATCCAGCAAACATCTTTCCTTCATCAAATTTCCAGATCTCCTTTCCTGTGCTGGTACTGCAGTCAGGTCACCAAGTTACTTGATTTGTAGGTTGTTAGCTAGTTCACTTCTCTAGAGATTTGTTTTGGCCCAACAAATCGTCTTTTGAAAAGATGTTTAAGACAAGCTGTAGGCATGCAATACTGTTACTTGTGGGATCCCAGTTTTATTCTGGATGTAATTTTATTTCTAGGATGTTGCTGGTCACCAGAAGACTGCCTAGTGGAGCTAGTAGCTTCCTGTGCTCCTGTAGTAACTAGCCACTCTTCCTGTAGCTATAAGGGAGAGGTTTTAAAGGGTTGTCACATACTGATCCATCCATACCACTGCTGCTGTGCTTTATGCAAAGAGGACACATTGGCCCCTTAAAGTTCTGTTAAACCCCCTTGTGCAATCTCCTCTAGGCTCTATTACAGACTCTCAGCTGGCATCTCTAATAACTGCTGCTTCAACTTGAAGCATCAGTTAAATTTGAGTCTTTTAGGACTGAAAATTGTTAGACTGTCATTAATAAGGACATGGTTTTATAAACTCCTCTTACATTTTTTTTGCCTGGACAGTGCTTGGGGCCTGGGGCTGGTTGCAGGGCCTCGGTGGGGAGCAGGATGGAGCTACGCATGGCTTATTCAGGAGGCAGTGGGAGGCTGGCTCCCCACCACTGTGCGCACTCCCAAGGGAGACATGGGGGGCTCCCTGCCCTGCTGCCCTTTCCCCAGGGCCTCCACAGCCCAAACCATCCTATACAATTCCAGTGTGGGACCTGGCGCAGCAGGGCAGGAAAGCTCAATGCTGCTGCCGTAAGCTGAGCATCGCCATGGCCACGCACCCCCTGCCCACCTGGCAGCAGCTGGAGGCGCAAATCCGTGTCATCGCTCCTGCTGCTGCTGAGCGGGCAGGGGGTGCTTTGCTATGGTGGCATTTGGCTTGTGGCAGTGGCATCGAGCTTCCCTTCCCCACTTTGCCCTGCCATGCTAGGTCCCACCCACTGGGCCACAGAGGCCCCAGGGAAGGGCAGGAGGGTGGAGAGCCTGAGTCCACAGCGGGTAGCCGGCACCCATACCGCCCCCACCCCCCACAAGCTCCACTGTGGCCATGCTGCCGGTGGGGGAGGGGGAGCTGGGCTCCACTCCACCGCAACAGTCGCTGCCTCCCATGGGTGGCAGCTGAGCCTCAGGCACTGCTGCAGTGGGGAGGGGACTGCAGACCTGGGTCCCTGGCCCTGTGGCCCTGGCAGTTGGGGGTCCCCTCCATCAGGGCAGAGGGCTGTGGGTGGGGAGTGAGAGACTAGCAGGGCCAAGGGCCTGTGGGTGGCAAGTGAGGGGCAGGTTCTGAATGGCTGTGGATGGGGTGTGAGGGGCACCAGCGGGGGTGGAGGGGCTGCTGGTGGGGAGTGATGGATTTTGGGTTTTTAATCAGAATTTGCGGGGTTTATCAGAGAATTTGCAATTTTGAAACAGAGAAAACCAGGTTCCCTGCTGATAACAACCAGCCATTGCCTCAACTAATTCTCCAGCTTTTACTATCACCACTCCCACTAGAATTCCCCCTTCTTACTGAGGTTGCTAGTAAATGCTCCTATGCCAGACTTTCTTTAGCCTCTTCTACTTCTTCCTTGACTGTCAAAAGCAGCAGAGAGGTCAGTCAGACTTTCTTTCTGAAAATTGTTTCCTCTCTCAGCCTTTTTCAGGCTTTTCCATCATTCAAGTCTTTTATTTTGACGTGATGATCTGCAAGCCAACTTCACAGGGAGATAAGTTTGGTTCCTCATACCTACAGATTTTGGGATACACTGTGTCTATAGTTCCACATGGATTCCTCTCTCTAGGACAAACAGAGAGAGAAAGAAGGTTTTTTATACCCTCATTCCTGAGTTCCTCCAATGAGAGGGAGAGACAGGTCTCCCTTTTTTTTTTTGACTGCTGTTAATAATTCCATGGCTCACAATGCAGACTTTATGGATCTTACCTAGGGGTTTATAGGAGGAAGTGTACACACAGAAATCCTGTTACTGTTA